AAGAAGAAGAAGAAGAAGAAGATGGAAGCATGAAGGCCCGTGGTGCTCCGAAAATGTTTGCCCCAGGGCGATTCGAGGACCGACAGTACTGTAGCCTCACGCTATTAAGATATCTGCATACGAGGGCACTCGCACATTTATGGAAGTCTTTGGACAAGTAGGGGCTTGGTAAGGGCAAAGATGGTTGTGAATATTCAGTTCTATAGTAAATCTTACTGAAAGCTGCAAGTCGTTATATTCCTTCTCCAACAAATGGTTTCGGTCCTCGAGAGGGCGGAACTTGTTCCTGAGGTCGCCAATTGTTCCCTCCATCTTTGCGATTTGAGCCCGTCGGTGCTTGAGTTCATCGGATGCTCTCGCCTCAGCAATTCTGCGCATTTCATCCGCCTGGTATGAGAGATATATGATTATCATTGCTGTCAGCGTTCACATGAGTCAACGTGATACCTTCTGCTTGTAATAGGTGGTAACCCTGGTGCGAATGATTTCGTGGGAGGCTTCGTACTCGCGCTTGATATCTCTGAAAAGGGTAAACTTTGGTTATAGGAGGTCCTTCCGTACTGCCCCATATCATCAGAGGAGAATGGGGAGAAGATCCTGCCTGATGGCGTTTGCAATATCATTCGCGAAGAACGTCTTTGCATCGAAGGGGAACTGAGCTAGGAGGTTGTTAATCTCGTCCACTTCACGTTGCTGGACCCTGTAATCAAATAAGACATGTAAAGGCCCGGAGGAGGCGAGGAACATGGTGACCTCACTTCATGAGGAATTCCTTCTCGGCAATCAGTCGTTCTTCTTTAGCTTGGTACTCTGCCAGCTCTAGTCTGACGCGATCGATTTCCTCAAATGAAGGCCTTGTAGGTGGTCTCAGGATTCAGGGACTAATTCCTCATGCAAAACAACGCACCTCCCAAATTCTGTCATATTCGTGATAAAGTGAGGCATTCTGGGCAGAAAGCTGAGCGCGCTCATCGGCAAGGCGACCGTTCCTAAATGTTTTGTTTTAGTAGCTTTAACAAATGTTATTTTACCCCTAGTCGCTAGATAACCACTTGACAGCTCTGCACTGGTAACCAATATATCACCTAGGTTCTAACACTCTCTTCATTTTTACTTACTCTCTCAGTTGAAGTTCCAAATCAGCTTCGGCCTTTGTTATCTGCGAGCGTAACTCAGCACATCTTGCACGATCATCCTGCTCTGCTCGGCGAATGAAGTCTGTCCTGAAATCGCAGTGCTTGAGCTGTTTGCGAAGTGCTGCCTTGGGAATTCTGGTTTTTTCCTACTTTAAAGAATTTCCTTTTCATCCGCTAGATGTAGTCGATCTGCAATATCCAGGGCATACCTTTTACTGATGAGACCGATTTTCTCCTTGGTCCGTCTTGCCTTGATGGCCTCCTTTGCGTGTTGCTTGATGGCTGTTATCGATTCTTCCCTAGTTATCAACAGGGACTTGGAAAGCGAAGCCTGAAAAAAAGATGTATCAGACGTGCCACCCGGGTGTTTCCAACTCCATAGAGAGCTGTATCAGCTCGACTCCCTTTCTTCGATTGTGGAGGAAGGGTGATAAAAGCAATGTTTTGGGGTCAGTCGCTCCCATCTCGGGCAACGCCGCGCATTCTATATCCGCTCAGGTTCAGCAAACAGCAGCATTTTGATGCTATTTGCTCCAAAGAACCTTGTGGCGCCAGGCGATAACAAGTCGAGTGATGCTCAAGAAAGCAACCCGATGCCAGTTCATCTGCCCTACAAGGAAGCAGGATTGGTTGGCAAGGGCGGGTAGTCGATCCCAAACTTGATCGGATTGCGCACGTGAGCCGCAGTAAAATTTCCACTACACCACACCAGCTTCAGAATTCTCCAAAACTGAAAACAATGCTGGAGCAAATTACTGATGCACCCAATATTTCGACAACATTCCGGAAACACCATTCAGGGTCAGTTGTAACTAAGAGCAGAATTACAAAATCATGACTGTCCACAAAAGTATCCTAGAGTTCTGAGGACGGCCTCATTTGGCCACCACTCAATTCTCAGGACGAGTTTTACGCTTCCGCGACGCTGTCCAGGCATCTTCTTCACTTATAAAAAGACTTTCATTTTAAACTTACTCAGCAAATTTTAAAACGAGTTGACTACTGGAAGGACACTTGCGAAATACTGCTACACCTCAGGAGAAATCTAAGAGTCCTCAATCCGTACTGGCTTTGGGTAGACTCACGGGAAGGTCACCCATTTAAAACAAGGTTCTTCTCTCACTCGTTTATTCGTCATACGCCATTTCCGGCGCCAATATTGAGGTAAGCAGCAAATTCATATTCTGGATATTGTCACTCATTTATTAACCAATTTCTATTCCAAAAAGCCCTAATAGTGCTTCCAGTAATAACTCAGCACGCAAGGTGAAAGTGGTGCAAAAATGGTGCGCAGAGCTGCTCCATGCCTACATGAGTCGCAACAAATGGGCTCCTAGATCTTGAAACTTCCTGATGCATTTTCTAAGATTTTTCGAAAAGGAAATCACTCTCCACAGTTACACAAATCTGGACTCTCTGAGTATCATTTTACGAATCCTGGAGCAGAATTGACAATGAGTAGCAGCGTTCGTAAGAATTCCGAACATTGAAAAATGCTAAAAGTTTTTGACTTGCTATACCTGTCATGAATGCTATTTATAACTCAGAATAGATATCGTCGGGAATTCCACCAAAAATACAGTAGCCCTTGAAATAAACGATGATGCGCCAGGTTTTACGTGTCAGAATTCTAGTTCTCAGCAGTAATTCTTGCATGCAAAAAGATTATCAAAAAAAATCCGCAGGAAAGGATCGCAGACTGATTTTAGCACATATCATATACTTTTATTCCAGGATTTATCGAGTGTACCTTTCTAGGAAACACTGCAAAGCAATGCTGATCTGTAGTCTTTCTAAAGAATTCATTCATGGGCAGGTCTCTTCACAGTTACCTCAAGGCAAGGGTGTGGAACCAAAAACCCTACTGGAAAGCATTTTCCACCCAATTTACGTTTTTATTCTTTGTCAAAGACTTGTGGTGAATCGTAGCAACAACATCTTTCCAGTCTCCACTGAAGAACTGATAAGATAGGGGGAATTGCCGCCCGTTTAGGAAGCCATAAACGCCCATTATCTGCCCGATGTGCGACGAACATGTACCCACCAAGAAAGGCGTACCTTCCACATGAACACCTTGTCTGCTTACAAATTCTTGATTATTGAAATGGCATCCAGCCGCGTATTTTAGAATCCACAGATCCCTCTAAATGTCAGAGCGGTGCTGTCGCAAGGCTATATGAAGATAATGGTTCAAGCTGAACCGTGAGTTAAGGAAACTTCGATGGGGTCATATTTGAGGATGAAAGTCGTATCTGGATTCAAATCTAAAGCTTTTTCAGGTTGCACAGTCATTATCCCTAAAACACATAGGAGCGTAAGACTGGGATGTGGCTTGAAGCGCAGCCGGGGCACGGCTCGTACCAAGTGTAGCGCAGTTAGGATGGCATCGTTGGTGCAAGGAGGCTACCCTGCTCCAAGCTGGATCACACGCCCTATCGCTTGCAAGGTTCATGACCGCAGTCGCACGGCTTAGTGTGGCTTCGCTATTTCTGGGAATCTTTTGGTAGTCGGTCAGAGATGCCTAGTCCTCCTCGACGGTTCTTCGGTGTTATATGGATGGAGGGAGATAGGAGGAAGGTCGCACTGAGGGACTGAGATAAACCTTTCTCGACGCCATGATCGACATTGATAATACCACGCTCCATGCCAAACGAGAGCTCGGCGGTAGAAAATCCAGCAGCAAGGCGCATTACGCTCCATATCGAGTCCAAAGGCTCATTCTCGCCTAGATTATCCCCTAAGACAGTACGCAGTGTGAGATAAGTCATGAGAACTAACTAGCACCAACACGTGTTATTGTTTGATAACTGCTGTTTAACGCCGCAATGCGCTGCGTGCGATACGAAAGTTATCACAAGAATGCTGAGTTGTGGGCAAAAGTGGCCCGGTAGCGTAATAGGGAACGCAACTGCCCGGTAAGCAGAAGATGCGGGTTCGAATCCCGTCCGTGGTCCGACTTTTGCCCACAACTCAGCATTCTTGTGATATCGCCAACACCCTTCTGAAAAAGGGTCCAGAAATTCATTATTCAGAAATCGAGGGGTCCATGCAATTGAATGTGCAATAGATCGGCTTTTCTATCCATACTCCCATCGGCACATGGAAGCACCAGAGCCCATTTTCAGGTGGGAAAATAGTGACTCGGTTAGGTCAAATATTTCAAAGTGTGACACAAGTTAGGTGTGAGTTGATTTTCCGGAATGACAATCCACAAAGTTGAACGCGTAAAGGGTCTGTGCAGGGGACTCTGAAAGCCAACCGATGTCCATTCTTATCAGGTATTCCATTGGTCGCTGCCGGTTTTTGAAAGGGAGATAGGTCAAGTTAGTCTAACGAGATCCAACCCAGTGGTTTTGCAAGGGGGTCCGAGAAAATAGGGAGTTTTACGAGAGAGCTCAAGAATCTAAAAAAATGGAGCGCTCTGACGAAATAGACCCGCTTCTACAAACTACAGCAGCACCTTCCAAAGTCTCAGTTATTCTGGGAACTCCTGCAAGCTTCCGGTTAGTCCACTTACATTACGTGCGGTAAACCCTACTCCTAAGATGTACACTGAGGTAGTGGACGGTAGTAGTGTCCCAGAAAGTGACATCGATCAAATCCTGTTCGCAGTTACAGCATCTACCAGGCGTCCAGTTGTCGTGGCAAGCTGCGATGTTCGTCACACGCACAGCTCAGTGGTCACATCTCCCCTCTATTGCTCAGTTGTTCTTGAGCTGGTAAAACCTACCCTATCATGGGTCAAGAATTATCTCAAGGTTTCCGTAATTCACTACATGTGACAAGTCACGTTATAAGGTCACTTCGATCTCCACTGGAAGTGGAAGGTTTTGCCCATGAAAAGGTTCAGTCAACGCCAAGCGTTTGATACTTTACTTTGGTGTGGAATGATAAGGCTCTGTTCTGACATTTACGAAACACTTTGGTAAGAATTCCGTGCCGTAGCTGTTATCAGCCTATTCGGACTCTTATCGGAGATTGCGCCAGTTGGCATTTTACGAGAATCAGTTTGAGATTATCACTTCACTTCATGGGCGTTGAGAACTTGAACAAAGTGTTTCAGGCTGAGCTTACTGGGGTATCAAGCCTAGCACACAACTGGTCCCTGAATGAAAGCGTCACTCATTGTAGCGAAGACTACCTACTGCTACCGTACTTGTATGTACTTCCAGCCATTCCTGGGATCAGAATCTCTTCAAGTTGGTCTGATTCTATGAAAACACTCAATTCAGCACATTCTTCCCTCTTCACATTAAAGTATGCACCTGAAATTTCTCTCAGTTCTTCCAATTTCTGAAGTGTTATCAGCGCAGTTCGGCGACGGGGGGGAGGGCATTTTGTACTT